AGTATGTCATAACCTATAAAGTTGTCTCAGCACTGCAGTATGTCATAACCTGTAACGTTGTCTCAGCACTGCAGTATGTCATAACCTGTAACGTTGTCTCAGCACTCCAGTATGTCATAACCTGTAACGTTATCTCAGCATTTCAGTATGTCATAACCTGTAAAGTTATCTCAGCACTTCAGTATGTTATAACCTGTAAAGTTATCTCATCACTCCAGTATGTCATAACCTGTAACGTTGTCTCAGCACTGCAGTATGTCATAACCTGTTCATAAATGTCAGGCTTAGTAAAAGTAAATAATATATCTATTCATAATTTAGCTAAAAACGGCCTGTCCTAATTCAGAAATGTTTTCTGTTTTGTATTATTTGACTAAAAAGATACCTTATGACTGAATAATATAATCTGTGTGACACTGGTAGGAAGTAAAATGTGTTTTCTCTGTCACATGCAGAAACGAGAGAGGGAGATGTTACAGAAGCTAGAAGTCCAAGAAGAAACTGCCCTGGAGATCCGTGAAACGTACTCTTCTCTACAGCAAGAAGTTGAAGTAAAGACAAAAAAACTTAAAAAGGTTAGAATTGTACCAACTAGTATATCTATAGAGCTTAATTGTAATCTGGCTTATTTCTTGATCAGAACTCTGCCGGTCGGAGTTGCTTGGTAATTAAAGTTAGTACATCCCTTCTTGTGTACATTACATTTTAGGTTAAAGATTCATATTACTTTCAGAATCTTATTTTATCGAACATTATTTGGTGCTTGTAGAAACTTTTGTTGTAGAGAAAATTTGACATTATATTTATTGTTGTTGGAAAAAGAATTTATCTGTCAAACCTGTTTCCAGAGTATTAAAAAATGGACTGTTTCTAGCTTTTTGCCAAGTTGCAAGCTGTCAAGGGAGAAATCCAAGACCTGCAAGAAGAACATTCCCATGAAAGACGAGAACTGGAGGAAACTCAGAATGAACTTACAAAGGAACTGAAACTCAAGTACTTATAGTGTTAACCGAAACTCAAGTACTTATAGTGTTAACTGAAACTCAAGTACTTATAGTGTTAACCGAAACTCAAGTACTTATAGTGTTAACTGAAACTCAAGTACTTATAGTGTTAACCGAAACTCAAATACTTATAGTGTTAGCTGAAACTCAAGTATTTACAGTGTTAACTGAAACTCAAGTACTTACAGTGTTAACTGAAACTCAAGTACTTATAGTGTTAACTGAAACTCAAGTACTTACAGTGTTAACTGAAACTCAAGTACTTATAGTGTTAACCGAAACTCAAGTACTTATAGTGTTAACTGAAACTCAAGTAATTATACTATTTCTAGGATAATGCGAAAGAAAATCCCCAAAATTTGAATTGGGAGGTTTTTATAAATCTACTACAAGTCAACCTTATTTTCATTGTTTTTTTTTAAACAAAGCTGTTTATTTATTAATAAAATAAATCTAGATATATAAGAATGTATTTATGCATATATATACTTTTTTCTTTCTTTCAGATACCTTATAATTGAAAACTTCATTCCCCCAGAAGAAAAAAACAAGATATTAAGTCGAGTGACATTTGACGAGGATGATGAACAGTGGAAACTTATTCCCTTAGCTCAAGTTAACGGGTAAGTTCTGTTTTTTTACAAGAAAGAATAACGTTAAAAAACATACCCAGTGTCTGTATTAAAACACAAAACATACTGTACTCTTTGCTTTCAAAAGTAAATAATAACATACCCTGAGGAACTTGTGTTGATCTAAAGCTTAATTTGAGAAGCTTAAATGCATTTTAAGCTAGTAAAATAATTCAAAAGCTTTAAATACCATCATTGTGTAACACATAATGTTCACTAATAAAACAAGAGAGAGAAAAAAGCTTGAAGTAAACCTATTTTTTAAAATCTAATGACAGTGGACAACAGCTTACCAAGAGACCAGTATCAGCTGCAGGTCATAGACGTCCAGTCTCAGAATATGCAAAGTTAGCAGCGGCTATGGGAGGTAATCCTCGGTACAAGGTGCGTATCTATGTAGCTTTGTTCTGTTTTGTGTATTTTGTTTTGTGTAGTCCACAGTACAAGGTATGTAGCTTTGTTCTGTTCGGGTATTTTGTTTTGTGTAACCCTCGGTACAAGGTGTGTATCTATGTAGCATTGTTCTGTTTGTGTATTTTGTTTTGTGTAATCCTCGGTACAAGGTGTGTATCTATGTAGCTATGTTCTGTTTGTGTATTTTGTTTTGTGTAGTCCACAGTACAAGGTATGTAGCTTTGTTCTGTTCGGGTATTTTGTTTTGTATAGTCCACGGTACAAGGTGTGTATCTATGTAGCTTTGTTCTGTTCGGGTATTTTGTTTTGTGTAGTCCTTGGTACAAGGTGCGTATCTATGTAGCTTTGTTCTGTTCGGGTATTTTGTTTTGTGTAGTCCATGGTACAAGGTGTGTAGCTTTGTTCTGTTTCTGTATTTTGTTTTGTGTAGTCCTCGGTACAAGGTGTGTAGCTTTGTTCTGTTTGGGTATTTTGTTTTATGTAGTCCACTGTACAAGGTGCGTAGCTATGTTCTGTTTGTGTATTTTGTTTTGTGTAGTCCTCGGTACAAGGTGTGTAGCTTTGTTCTGTTTCTGTATTTTGTTTTGTGTAGTCCACGGTACAAGGTGTGTAGCTTTGTTCTGTTTCTGTATTTTGTTTTGTGTAGTCCTCGGTACGAGGTGCACATCTATGTAGCTTTGTTCTGGTCGGGTATTTGTTTTATGTAGTCCACGGTACAAGGTACGTACCTATGTAGCTTTGTTCTGTTCGGGTATTTGTTTTATGTAGTCCACTGTACAAGGTGCGTACCTATGTAGCTTTGTCCTGTTCAGGTATTTTGTTTTGTGTAGTCCACAGTACAAGGTGTGTATCTGTGTAGCTATGTTCTGTTTGGGTATTTTGTTTTGTGTAGTCCTTGGTACAAGGTGCGTATCTATGTAGCTTTGTTCTGTTTGTGTATTTTGTTTTGTGTAGTCCACAGTACAAGGTGTGTAGCTATGTCCTGTTCGGGTATTTTGTTTTGTGTAGTCCTCGGTACAAGGTGTGTTCCTATGTAGCTTTGTTCTGTTCGGGTATTTTGTTTTGTATAGTCCTTGGTATAAGGTGTGTACCTATGTAGCTTTGTTCTGTTCGGGTATTTTGTTTTATGTAGTCCTTGGTACGAGGTGCGCATCTATGTAGCTTTGTTCTGTTTGTGTATTTTGTTTTGTGTAGTCCTCGGTACGAGGTGCTCATCTATGTAGCTTTGTTCTGTTCGGGTATTTTGTTTTGTGTAGTTCTCGGTACAAGGTGTGTACCTATGTAGCTTTGTTCTGTTCGGGTATTTTGTTTTGTGTAGTCCTTGGTACAAGGCGCGTATCTATGTAGCTTTGTTCTGTTTGTGTATTTTGTTTTGTGTAGTTCTCGGTACGAGGTGTGTACCTATGTAGCTTTGTTCTGTTCAGGTATTTTGTTTTGTGTTGTCCACGGTACAAGGTGCGTATCTATGTATCTTTGTTCTCTCTGTTTAGGTATTTTGTTTTTATATAATTCCTCTAAAGGTTCAAAGAAACATAGTATTAAAGAATAAGACAAAAATATAAATATTTTAACAATGGAAGATAACTATTGTGTTAATAATGCAATATTTGAATTTTTTTCTTTCTTTAATTCACATTTAATTATAAATTTTGTGATGGTGGTTGAAACTTTTGGTGTTTTGTGAAAAAAGAATGTTTTCTCATAGATCATTTCCTGTACACAAGTATAGTTTAACAATTTCAATTTATTTTAGGGAGAGAACGTTTTACAAGTAGAGCTTGACATGCCAAGTCGTACAACTCGAGAATACGACGCTCCATCAGTTGCACCCCGTGTTAGAGCCGCTGTTGATGCTGCTCTGAGGGTCGAAGAGGATGTGGATATTGATGCTAGGTATAAAGTTGTATTTTAATAGATTCTGCACACACATTTGACCGATATTACTTGTATTTTAATAGATTCTGTACACACATTTGACCGATATTACTTGTATTTTAATAGATTCTGTACACACATTTGACCGATATTACTTGTATTTTAATAGATTCTGTACACACATTTGACCGATATTACTTGTATTTTAATAGATTCTGTACACACATTTGACCAATATTACTCGTATTTTAATAGATTCTGTACACACATTTGACCGATATTACTGGTATTTTAATAGATTCTGTACACACATTTGACCAATATTACTCGTATTTTAATAGATTCAGTACACACATTTGACCGATATTACTGTATTTTAATAGATTCTGTACACACATTTGACCAATATTACTCGTATTTTAATAGATTCAGTACACACATTTGACCAATATTACTGTATTTTAATAGATTTTGTACACACATTTGACCAATATTACTCGTATTTTAATAGATTCTGTACACACATTTGACCGATATTACTTGTATTGTAATAGGTTCTGCACACACATTTGACCGATATTACTTGTATTTTAA